TTCATATTGAAGCAAAAAATTAAAACCTCCCGCAAATGACGAGAATTTGGTTCGTAAACTGACATTTTCAATCGAGAATAACTTTATGATGCAGACACAAATCGACTAATGTTTCTATGGGGTTATGTTGACAGATGCCCAAGTTTATTGTATGACGTCTATGATCTATTTATTTCGACCCCCACTTACCGCTAAAGCCATCTATAGGAAAACGGCGGAAGCAAAGTTGTACACCTAATATTTAGCGTAATTATGACCAATTATTATCAGCATAATTCAATGTATTTCAATAAATTCTGCTAAATAACTATTCAAGAAATATATATGAAGAAAATATATTTATTTCATTCTAATTTATTGCACTAGTGAAAGAGTGCAGCAAAAATAAATAGACTTAGTAATAAATCATAAGAGTAGTCACAGAATATGGCAACAGTTTGTAGCCAATCAGTTCTTTGTACATGTAACATATTCACTGATTTATTACAATCATTGATAGGGCGCAATGCAAAATTACTTGCCGCGCAATCGATAAATCAATAAATATAATACACATAATTACAATATTTCCTGATGAAAATGTTGAAATTTTATTGAAATTGTAATGAATAATAGTGAAATACATTAAAATCTACATCTCACACATACACGCAGGCACGCACGCACACAACACAATTAACTTATTTCTTTAAGATTCCAATTATTTCAACATTAAACATTAAGATTTTAACTTAATTATACAAAGATAATAAAGAATTCATTAAGGCTCAATATGAAAATCCATGTACATGATGAATTTTATACTAATTATTCAACATAATTTAATGTGTTTCAATAAATTATACTGAATACTGAAACTTTTCATAAAATTTATTGCATTTATTAATTTTTATTTTGAACTTTACTGATTCCTTTAAAATCTTAACGTTCTCTGTATTCAATTATTAAATTCTTATCAAAATAATATCGAAATAATATCGAAATAATTAAAATTTTAATGAAAGATATTAAAAGTAGGTCAATTGATATAGATCTCAATACACATTTCAATGTTCATTAAAATTTTAATAAAATTTTTTCATTAGAATAGAAATGGATTTTGAAATAATTACATTTTATTATTTCATACTTCACATTGTTGTGTTACAGTTTCATCGAACTTCCTGATTAGGAAATACGAGATAGAGAATTTCTCAAGAAAACATGTTACTCTAATTAATAAATAATGATTCATTTAAAAAATAATGATTCATTTAAAAATATTGTACTCAATAATATTTTATGCTTGCTGAATTTTATTAACATTATTAAATGTGAAATAAATCTGTTATACTGTTATGGATTCATTAATATAATTCATTAATTTTGTACGCAATAAATGTTTACATGAATTTTCCAAGGTTAGAGTATCTGTCATGTCAAACACACATACTTTGAATATCTACCGTAAATTTTTAGAATTAATTGATTGTTATTCCATTTGGTAAAAGGTTTACTTTAACAGATTTGTTGTTATATTATATATATGTATATATAATGTAATATAATAAATATAAAAATTCCATAACACAATACAGACATGACAGAAATTCACTTTTTTAATATTAATTATATATTGTATTACTGTTATCAGTTCAATAATGAAACTACATATGTACAAATGAATAATTTCATTTCATTAAATGAAGTAATAATTTGATAAAATTTCGTGCAAGACATTTGAAGCACTTAACATCAATTATCCATACATCAGAAATGCATTTTTAGGCACATGAAATGCATAACAGAGCATAAACATAACATAAGCATCCAGCGTAAAGTCGACATATTGTTTTCAGCAGAAAAAACAGCTTTGAAATCGTAAAATTTTTAGATACGATGATTGGTTTATATATTTAGATCCGGTGAGGAACTAAGAACAAGACCAATCATATTAAAGAATTTTAGAACAATTGCAAAGCTGCTTTTTCTGCTGAATTCAGCCATTGATTTACATAAGATACTCATTGGTCCAGCGGCCTTATGCTATGGTTATACAGCTTATGTCATTTTATGTGTGCTCTTAGAAAACACCAGACACAAGTTTTTGCGTAATGCATAACGCATAAGAGAATTAACCAATCTGATTTCTACTTTCCTTCCATTTTACGGGAAAATGGTCTTTCTAAGAGCTATCACACATAAAATGACATAAGTTGCACAGCAAATGGCCGCTGGACCAATCAGCATCTTATGTAAATCAATATGGTGACTTTATGCTGGATAGTCATTGATTCAGCAATCTTATGTTATGCTTATGCTTTGTTATGCATTTTATGTGCGATAGGCTTAAGCCTAATCTATATCAATCTACATTCGTCATATTGTAGGCGTCACAGGTCACAAACTTGTTACGTCAGCCAATCCGTGTCCATTTTAAAGTCTTATGACATTTACGATTACATTGGTCTAGAATCTCTATAACAGAGTTTAAACAATGCTGAAGTGATTGGTTTTGCCATTAACAGTCAACTTCTTGGTGCATAATTTTATGCATTTGTATGCCTCGTGCGAATAAGCATGTGTGATAGAGCTGAATAACATAAGAGTTGATATATAATAGGCCGTAATCTGTTAATTTTTTCCGTAATCTGTAAAAATTAACCATAATCATAGTTAGTTATTCTGCTCTCATTCGATTGTGATTGATCAATTCTTGTAGATTACAGAAAAAGTTAACAGATTACGGCTTATTATAAATCAACTCTAAATGTGAACGATTTTTTATTATTTTTTTTTGTTATAAATACATTATTCAATAGTAAGTATAAGAAAAAATATAATTATCGCAAATAATACTGATTGGGTTAATTATTATATTCTAATATGATTTGATTAGCATCGCAAATCCGTATATATTTATGCCAACCAATCACACGGAGTAGATGGTCATATGATCGTATTGATTCTCTCTCCAAGAGGTTTTCTAGGACTATGGTCAAAGTCTCCCTACAAATAAAGTTTCGCTTTGAAACATTTGATGGACCAATTAGAAGAAAGAATTTACAAATTGACCAATTAAAAAACATTTCAAAGCATTTGCAGCATCGCGTTGACTTAAAAAAAAGCTATTGTGGCACTTTATAAATATAGAGTAAATTCCAAAACGTCTCCTCTTCCTCTTCGAGGAAAAATTTATTCGAAATATATAGGACATGCAACGTATACTACAGTATAGCCTAGTTTCTCCATTTAATTGCGTTTAACTTAATCGATTGATTAAGTATCAACTGTGATTAATCAATTCTGCTGAACAGTAAATGCGCTTAGCCAGTTCTAATGTAATCTTCGGTCGATTAGATTAATCAAAGTTGATGAGACCGAGCCTATTTCAAGTAAAATTTTTCTCAGATGTTTTGGAATGTAGCCTAGTGATTTAATGTATTATAACCTTTAGGGCTATTACATTCAAAATGAAGCTGCACAATCGATTCATATGTACGTGATCGGACAAAACCTCCGGTTGTAAAAATTATTATTTTAAATTTATATTTCGTATGAAGAGTTTTGAAGTGCAAATAAAAAGGTTTGGGAGTCATTCTATTAATTACAATTAACCATTCTTTTTTGAACCAGGAGATGTACTTGACCGAAGTAATTAACCGGATCTAAATTCAACAAAATTTATATATGGAATCATTTATATTTTGTATGAAGAGTTATGAAGTACTATTAAAAATATTTGCGAATCATCCAGACATTTTTAATTAAATATTAAAATATATATATGTGTTTGATCGAAATATAGATACAGGCGCTATGGTCACGGAAATTCCATTAGGAAATACACAATAGATAGTCTCTTTAGTATTTTAATATTCCAGGACGTATTATGGAATTGTCTACAATATATAATAATGTCTGCTAACAATATCAATACTTCAAAAAAGCTTAGAAATAAAAATAAAACTAGGTGAAAAGCAGGCAAGGCAAAGAATATGCAATAAGTATTTGTGCTGGAGAGAAATATTGCAACGATTCTGCCATATATCATGAATATAAAGATTTAACATTGGTTATCTAATCTAATTGTAAGCGCATAGACATTGTTACATTTAAAATTATACAATAAATTATACAATAAAAATTTAATTTTTAAATAATTATTTATGAAGTAATGTATGACTTACTGTATATACAATATCAATCAAATATATTTATCATACAATCATTATCAATCAAATTTAGTCTTTCAAAAAGTATGCACTTACATTTCTTTAAAATATTTAATATTGAAAATTATAATAAAAATGACATTAATGCAATAAATCATATGTGAAACATTCAGATATAGTATTATAATATTTTGTGTGCATAACGCATCATTTTGGTATTCTATTTGTAATGTTCCATCTTTAAAGAAAGGAAACTTTTTTCTTCTTCTAAACTTGAATATCTGTAATAAGATAAAACAAAAATCAATTTATTTTTAAAGTAAAAAATTTTCTGTTATACAAAAATTATTCAATCAAATATACAACAAAATCAAATTATATAAATATTATATTTACATTATAATTAATTTTAATATAAAATCTGCTTTAATAGAAAATCTGTCGATACCTATCTATTAGGATCATCTAAGCATACTCCAGATTTAATTGGATATATGATACCATGAAGTAGTATAGACTGGAAAACATGTAATATTATTTTAGGTGATTTGAGGAATTTTTGTTTTATTTTTTATACGCAAAGGAATCACATAATTTTCTGAAGCTTTTGTTAAAGGATTTATATCATAATAATGTCCAGCCTTAACAATTGTATAATTTGTTTTAGTACACAAGTTAACGCTCACAAGCTAATCTTCCATACTATAAATAAGTTACATTGTTGATCACCCTAAAATATTTTTATTTATATATTACTTGATATAAATATATTTTTTAAAAACTATTATACTTATATGTAAAAATAATTCAGAATATGAATTAATCTCAGCATCATAATCACAATGCATAACTGTCACCATATGATCGATTCCATGTAGACAATCATCACCAGTAAAATTAAACAAACTCTTCTTTGTTTATTATCTAACTTTGGAGGAAACCTTTCTGTTTATTTAAAAAAATTAATTCCTTTATCAGACTTACGATAATATACTTTAATATATAAAAATATAATTGTAACTGTACAGCATTACCTATTTCTATATTTTTCCTATTTCTGTATTTTTTGTTAGACATATTGCATAGTCATCTTGCATTTTTTAATTAATGGAGAACATAGTTGCATACATATCACCTCATAATTATGCTTGATGATATCTTCTTTACCAGTTTGGTTAAATTATATATAAAATTAAACTTAGCTTACATTCAGACACTTCACAATATTTTGAAGGAGTGATGGTTAAAACCTACAATAAAACAATTTCTAATTTTTGTTTCAAAACTTGACACAATTAAATTTTACGACAATAGCATTTGAGGTCTATTACAAAAAATGATGCAAAGAATTTTGTCTTACAGTGTTAGTTACTCATCCATCTTGTTGATCGAATAATAACTAGAAAACGTATAATGGAATTATTCGAAATGGATTCCGATCAAAATAATTAAATTATTTCCTATATTTCTATTGTGTTTTTTAAAGAAACTGTAGGTAAACTAAATCATTCCGATCGGAAATCATTTCGAGCAATTCCATAATACGTCCTGGAATATCAAAATACTAGAGAGACTATCTATTGTATATTACCTATGTATTTTCTAATGGAGTTTCTGTGACCATAGCGCCTGTATCTATATTTCGGTCAAATACATGATATTTTAATATTTAATTAAAAATGTGTGGATGGCATTTTTAACTCACATTTTGACTCACAAATGTTTTTAATGATACTTCATATGAAATACAAATGATTCTATATATAAACTTTTATTGAATTTAGATCTGGTTAATTATTTCGGTCAAATACAAACTTTTTTATTTGCACTTCAAAACTCTTCATATGAAATACAAACGATTAAAAATGATAATTTTTACAACCTGTGGTTTTGTTCGATTACGTACATACAAATACATAATCGTAACATAAAGTTGAGGAACCAATGAACATCTTATGTAAATTAATATGACGATTTTATGACGAATGTTTAAGGTCACACTTTGCATAATGCATAATGTAATGCATAAGCGAATCAATCAAAATCCTTCCTTGTTTTCCTTTTTAAGGAAGAGAAATATTTTGATTGGTTGATTTTCTTATGCACTTATATATTACGCGTAAAAAAGCATTTATATTGGCCGTAAGACGGGGAGCACAGGCTCTTGCATAATACGTAATGCACAAAAAATGAAAAGTCCTTCGTTTCTTTCCTTTCCGTGAAATAAATTGATTATTGATTGATTGAATTTCTTATGTCTTATGTGGTATGCGTTATGCAAGAGTCTGTGTTCTCCGCTTTAAAGTCATCACACATAAAATGACATAAGTTTCATAACCACAGCATAAGGCCGCTAGACCAATGAGCATCTTATGTAAATCAATATGGCAAATGCTCATTGATCCAGCAATCTTATGTTGTGTTTATGCTTTGTTATGCATTTCTTGAGCGATAGGCTTTAGGATATATCTATACAAACTTGCATAGCTGCAAAAATATACATAAAGAAAATTATCCAATCATCATATTTTTCTTATAAAGACACGTGAAATGTGATTGGATAATTTTTTTATGCAATTTGTTTATGCGACTATGCAAATTGTGTGAATATATCCTAATTATTTATAAATTCTGAAAAAGCTTTTATGATTAGAGCGATATTGTGATTGTCGAAATGAAATCGAAAAAAAGATTCGACCTTTGGACGAAAATATTTAAAATATAAGATTACGTATCACAAATTTATACCAAAAATGTATCAAACTCTCATTGCACTCTCATTGCATTCTCATATGTAATTTTTTATCGAAAATGTTGAAATTTTACAAACATACAAGTTTCGAATCGACAACTTTTCCATCGTAACGACGTCGAAATGACATCTTTTCGAGGAATTATTTCTGACTGGAGTGGTTTATGATAATTAATAAATGGCCATTATAAATCAGAATGTCGAAATTTACGGTATACTCTTAGAAAATTGTGGAATTTTTTTATACGAATCAGAACATTTTTTACTGTCGATAAAGTCTACATCTTTTCTTCTAGTAATTCTTTGTATTTTATTAGTGTTCTACTCCTGCTGAATAATATTACTTTTTGTAGTTTATTTAATATAATCTTATTATGTCACTTTTGAGGAATTTCAGGGAATAATGTCTCTTACCATAAATACTGACAACCTATTAGCTGTTTCTTAATTCTATGTTACGTCATATGTTGTCATATGCTACTACAGTAACTATACAGTAGTAACTATACTAGCTCAGCATTGACACTATTGCGTATCAATAGTAATACTACTGTAGTAGCAGTGACACTAGTAGTATTTTTATATTTCCAAATGAATATTGGAAACTTGTATGATGAACCAACATTTAAATTTCATTAATTTAAAAATCGAGATCATTTCGATTTTGATTTGAGCTAGAATTAGTCTAGCTAGACTTTGATAGAATCGATGATGTTTTTTCTTGATTTCATACTCATTTATAGTAATTACTTCCAGTAATATTTGAAATAAAAAATTTATTAGAGTAAAAAATACATATATATTTCATTAGAGCAATTAGTATTATTTCAGCTAATAAAAATAATATTTTACAGTATTATTAAAAACAAGTTATTATCATAGATGTCATTATTTGTACATTACTACTATATTTAACATTAATTATATTTTTTTATGTTCCTCTTTTACAACATCTTTGAACAGATATGTTACAACATTCATTAGCATAGGTGTTCATGATTCTTCGAAGGAACAGTTCCCGTACGATCACAGAAATGAAGCATGGTAAGTGGAGGTTCGAATTCAGATGGGTGACTGGGCATGGGTGCCATCATAAAATTAGTTCTCGAATTCATAAAAATAAATTTTTTTTATTATAATTTTGTCGTGTATCCTCTGAAATATGATGCTAATCAATAATATTTTTTTTCACAATAAAATTTCAATGAAACTTTAATGAAATTTTCTCCACTATTACGCTATTAGTGACACTATTTGTCGAATTTATTTATTGCATTAGTGACACTAGTATATTTTTATGTTGACTAGATTAATTCAAGATTTTATTTCCAACTCGAAATTAATCGAAATTAGAGCCAAAAATCCATCGAAATCAATAGAAATTTTGAAAACTTTCGACTTTTATTTTCGACCCCGAAATGATGTCTTTTCGAGAAATTATTTTTGACTGGGCACAGATATCTAATCTCAATTTATCATACAAATGTGGAAGTTTTTTTACTTATTATTTTTATATCTTTATTTTCTGATTCTATACTGTGTATTTATATTATAAACGTTTTTACATTTTCCCTCTCGTGATCACTTGCTAACATTTAGGTTAAGTCTGGTCTACAGCCATAAAGCACAAAAACGTAAGAAGTAAAACATAATCAGTAAGCGAATTGCCCAATCACGGTAGAGACCGTAAGGCCAATAGCGAATCCAATCTTATGATTTTCTTATTGATTACATCTTACGGCCTTACGTTTTTGTATGTGCCATGGACTTAAACCCATTCTATTAAACGTAAGTTGATCGCAAATTTGTTGTGACAACTAATCTAAAGCATTGATTTCAAAATGCTTCAGATTGGCTGCAACATGCTTGCGATCGGCTTGCATTTAATAGAATGGGATCTTTAGGACTGCCGTATACACCTATTATAACAAAACTGTATGATGTACCATAAGAATTAGCCAATCACAGTCGAGAATTCTTTTGAACTTTTAATTCTGATTGGCTCATTCTTACTATGCTTTATGGTTACTGAAGGTATGTGCAGCAGCCCTTAAGAAATTATAATCAATTATAATCGAATATAAAAAGAATAATCGACGATTGACCAATTTTTTAAGATTTAAGGTTTACTATTCTATTGTGTTTGCAGGGTTATAGTTACTGTTACGGAAGGTGTATGCGGCAGCTCTAACAAAAGAATACGGGTAACACTAAATTTGACGAGCAAATCAAGGAAAACATAAAATATTTACTTCTTTCGATTCTAGTGACAATATTAAGGTAGATGGCGTAGAAATTTGAGAAAGAAAGACAAAAAAACAGACGTCATTTTTCAGGATCATGACACAAAAAAACTTAAGCAGTAATCAATCTAACATGTTGATTTTCTTATTTTTATGTCTTACTGCCTGAAGTTTTTTGTGTGCTATGATCCTAAATGTTCTGAATGGCGTGATTGGCAGCTAGTCATAATATTCATTCATTGATATTAAAAATGGCGGACAAATAAATGACTAGGTAGATTTCATAGTCCGTCTGCAAACGATGCCATTCTTAATATTTTTCTTAGTTTTTTTACGATACTGAGATAAGCCGGTCACATTTCTTTAATAAATCTAGAGACCAGACTCACTAAACTCCTATTAAGGCAGCATAGATTTTTATATGCATAGTTCATAAGAAAATCAGCCAATCAAAATGTTTGTAAAGTGGAAAGAAAGAAAGATATCTGAATTGTAGATTCGCTTATGCACTACACGTTATGCGTTATGTAATGGCCTTTTGACTTCGTCTACAATCAATCAGATGTTGTGATATATTGTGCGCATATGCGTATGACATACAATAGATGCTTTCCATTTGATGACACAAATCGATACATCATTCTATCTTTTTTGACATTCAGAGAGTGACAAAGATAGAACGATACTTGCGTCGACTTGTGTCATCAAATGGAAAGTATCCAATGTTTCTCGATTGATTGTAGACGAGAGGAATCGATTATTTATCTTGAAATAAGATGAAAATGATAAAAGTGAGCAAATTCACTAAATGTTGATCAATGAAATTATAAGTATTCTAGTGAATTTGCTCACCCTCACAGGAAGGATTTCTAATACTGAGAAGAAAAAAGTTCTTGAGATAATTCATTTTAACTCAACTCTATACATTATAAAATTAAAATTATTTTAAAATTAAATCGATTTTAAAATTAAATCGATAATTTATATATATTCTACATCCTCGAATAAAATAAGATCGATGTTTTATCTTGAGACAAGTATAATATGTATAAATTTAGAATATATACTCTTTATATACTCTTAGAGTAAGTTTATTAGATTATTTAAAATAAGTCTATCTATTTATATACGCGCTACAACACAAAGCAGCGAAACTCTCGTGGTGTAGCGCCACAGTATAACTACATACAGTAGCGACAGTACCAGCAAACGAAGGATTCAATTTTGTTCTGCGCATACGTTGGTTATAAAACCAAGAATATGGACTGTCATTGGATAACATTATATGCGAAGTACTGCAATGTCTCTTGATTCGTTTAAATTTAGAGGTCTGACAATCACGTGATCGGTGAGACATCAAAGAAATCAACAACTATTGTCGCTACTTGTATGTACACAAGACTGCTTTCCTTTTAGGAAATACAGTGAATCGATACAATATAACACGCTCGAATATAGCTTGCCACACTTAAATGGAACGCGATATGTGTAGTGTAGTGTGTGTACGAACTTTTAATATCTAATCTTAAAAAAAGATTTGAATTTTT